AATATCGCATCTTTTTTCGACACCAGCGTCATTTAGTTAGAGGGTCAAACGATGCTGATATAAAGAAGAGCTCGGGGAGGGTAGTTTTCTTCCCGCCTTCCTTCGCTGAGTCTTACCTCGGCGGAGCGCAGATGATACGAGTTCCCTACTACAATGAGCTGGAGCCATGAGTGAAGGATTATTTGTGATACTGTGGCACTGAATCAACCCTATGAGCAAGGTTTCAGCAAGAATTCTTTGAGTTTTCTTGGGTACTAATAGTGCCGTCTTTTTAGAGTCTTGGGTCAGGTGGAAATCTGTTTCCAGGATGTTTCGATGTGATGAAACAGGAATAAGGGGGCTTGCAGACACGATCAGAAAGAACTCAATTTCTTTGAAAGAGGTGAGTTTCTGATGATCTTCTGTCACCGAGAGGAAAGCAAAATTCCTATTCAAGATAGAAGCTACTGGTGTGGAGTCAGTGAAGAAAGCTGTCCTCGCGGGCTTAGCCGATGAACTCCAAGGAACGGAGGCTGACCATGAAATCGAAGACGCCATAGAACAGTGTCAGAAAAATCTCAGGAAGAACGATCTCTACGGGCAACTACGGAATTGTTTTCCACTGAATCTCCGTAATCCGCATAAGTTCAAGAGGTTCGTTCTTACCTCAACGTCGTCAGTTATCTTCTTCTGGTAGGCTGATCAGCTCCGATCTTAGGTTTTTAGCCAATCCATTGTTTCAGGAAGGGGTCGGCGAGCAAACAGCAATTGAGACAGTTCTTGGAAGAATTGGTGAACGTTTTTCCAAGAGGTTTTATCGGAGAGAAGAACTCCAAAATGCTGCTGGATAGCGTACTCAATGAAGTTACTGCTTGGAAGTCGACGACGGCGCTGAAGATTTTTACTAAAGGTCTACGTGTACTCGAATGTAAGGAGAAGCATTTTCCACTAGGCAGTTTTATCTGAAATATCCTTTTACTTTTTCTTACTCGAATCATTATAAATTGAATGTTAAGGCGATTCTTGTCGAGCTTTGCGTTCTCGGATGACTAGATTGTCGCGAGATGCTTCCGTAATTCAACGGGAACTTCTGCATCAAATTGCGGGATTTCTTATTAGATTGTTGCTGAAAACACTTCTGTGAGTAAGATATTTTGGCTGTAGCAGGTGACATAAAGCAGTAGGTAAAGCCTGATGAAAGGATAAAGCTTTTGCCGATGATCAGTGCTTCTTAGAATGCGGGCCGCTTCTACTTCCATCCAGAATCGTACTGGCTTCATAGAATGCTAGTGCGGCTAAAACTGGTAATGACTTGCGGGGTCCGGCCGAATGAAAAGTCAGTGTTCCTATCCTCCAGATTGCCTATCTGGTACCAGTTTTTTACCGGTCCCATGAGTCAAAGGCTTGTGCTTGGTCTTGGAACCGACCCGCGGTGTCGTGCGTTATTATCGTCCTAGATATCGCCTGGTACTCCTCCGTACTAATTTGCAGTTTTGTTATGGTGAATGGCGGCTTTAGCAAAAGAGAACGAGTCTGGCACGCGAGCGTCAGCTCCTTTATTTCTCTCATTTCTGCACGACAGACAAGATTGTATCATGTCTTTCGCAAATCAGTCGATTCCCACTTGTGTACACTGGCTTTCAGAGGACTGAGTGACGAAAGCAGTGATGGTCAGGTATGAAAATCAGCCTCAACTGACCACCTCTGCTTGCGCAACCGAGATGAATTGGCACAACTTATCTGAATCGGGTGAAGACTTGGTTTGCTGCCCCGTTCAAGGGCGCGCTGTGATAAGTGTGCCAGCTTGGCGCACCATATGTAGTTACATACAGAAAATCCAGGTATTCTAATACTCAGGTAATGAAACCATGAACGCTACCGTACTAACCAGGGAATCAAAGACCGAGTGGGCCGGACGAGCCTCGCTATATGGTTATGACCCTTGGAACCAAAACGTTTACGGTTCGATCTCATTGGACATCAAATAAACAGAAGGACGACCGCCTGCGCGATGGTCAGACTTCTTCACAAAACATTGCAAGAAATGATTTCCGTGTTCTTCGAATCAGCAGAATCCACTAGAGCACTCTGGCTCAAGGCATTGCAAATGAAGGCGTGACTGGCGCCTACTCTGCTAATTCAGCTATCAACTTGACGATAGTTGAGAAGATCGTACTCCGAGTATAGATCCGCCTTGGGGATAAAAAGGTAATAGAGTGGCAAACAGTTGCTCAGTTGCTCCACTCAGCCTGTGTTTCAGATGCACCCAGGAGAGGAACAAAAAACCTTCAATCTTGGCCGATTCGGCTTCTTGGTTTCTTACTTACTTGAGGTGCCGAAGAGCGACACACTCCTTATCCCTGAGACGGAGTAGGCGTGGCCTTTGAGGACGGCACAGGACGGGTTACTCGTGGGATGCTTCAGTTTGAAAAAAAACTGCTATCTTGTTCTGTAGACATGATTACGACCGCTCCAAAATGAAGGTATCTCATGAAACTCGGCCGCCGTCGTTTTAATATCAAGTACGCAGCCAGCCTACCCGATCTCAGGGATTTCGAGTATATGTGCATGGCCTCTCTTCTCACTGAAGTGTAGGGCGACTTCGTTCCGGCTTTCAAAGCCTTTGCGATTTTGGTTGGAACACCAACAATATGGCGCATTCAAAGTACTGTACATTATCTTCTCGATCCTTTTTCATCGCTCATCTATTCTTAAAAATCAATGATCTCTGCTAAATTCCCGTTGAAGTCCGTCGAACAGATCATCATGACTTCATCCTTGTGCCCCTTGTTTCAGCTATGCGATTCAGTTTATCTTTTCGAATCTAGGGAATGCGCGTACTTTTACGCAGTTAATAGTAAGTCGGCATATTTGATCTACGATAAGAAGAGCTTCAAATATTGGAGGGAAGTCGAGAAAAACAAGTTTATCAGAGATTATAAAATTGAACTCGCTACTCGGGACAGGAAGGCCACTAGTGTAGGTCACCTATCACTTGTCAACTTACTCTTTTGGTCAAATGATTGATCGTCTCCCATTTCAGTATTATGTCCTTGGCAAATCTCTCTGCAGACCAACAGTGATGTGTGTATTGCAGGTAAGAGCAGATCTCGTCTATACTAACTTACTAGAACGGTACTCCCAAGGATGAAGATTCATTCTGCGACCTCACTTAGAGTTGTTTCTCTGTACAGGTGGTCCAATCCGGACTTCTAGGAGTTTCCATAGCTCTGCAGCGTAGCACTAAATGAGGAGGCGCTGCGATCGCCACCTGTGAGAGTTGCACCTGGACAAGTAGGAATCCCCAACACAAGAATCGTATTTGGTTGTGAATGTTCCCTCACCAAGATTAACGCGCCGGGAGTTCTAGAATGATCTGAATCACAGGATCCTAACGGAAAAACACCTGATAGTCCCGCCGAACCTAGAAATTCTTCCCTATTGGCTACGTTTAGAAGCATGAACATGAAGCACTGAGCGACCACACTGCGAAGAGAGAAACAACGAAACACTGATACTCCGTGTTCGACTGTCCATGAACCTTGGTATGGTGTGTGTTCTTGTCTTCAGTGATTTCTTGTAGCCACAGCCAAGGTGTTAAATCACTTTATCGGGCTTACGTTTCAACTAGTCGTCTTCGTCAGAGTGACCTGGAAGTTGGAGTTCAGTGATTCAATCCTCATAAATCATGTCAAACTTAGAAATAGTTCACCGTACATCAGCCACCGTAGATCAGCACATCTATGAAGGTATACGCAAATCCGAAACACAAGAACTCACCTAGGAACCTACCGGTAGGCTTTGTAGAGGACCACCGCTGAACTGACTGACTGTGTGTGGCTTCAGATGACCCAGCCCCTCGACCTGAAGCCGATGGCGATTGAAGCCTACACAGGTTAACGAACGGGACGAGCTCGTTTGTAATGGCGAGGCACTCGTCTTTCTTGTTCAATTTTGGGCCTTTAGCGCGAGAAAGAAACACTGGGCATGTGAGCAAGGGAACACATAGCCAGACGAATTGTGAAAGGACGATTATTAAAGACAGTTTCAGATTATAAAGTACCATGGATAGTTGCTGTTCAAGCTAAAAATCATTAAACAGTAGCTGATAAGTATTTCCCCAAAAGAAAAAAAAGCACGAAGAGTCCCCAAGAACACCAGAAACTAAATTTTTCCCTGACAGCCACACGGCCCTGTACATCTCTGTGTAACCCCTGGGTCACAAATCGCTTTTTCCCATCTCCCAGTCGTAGATACCATCTAATACAAAGAAAAGAACACGAAAAACAACAAAACACGGACGAAAAACTTTTGACAAAAAGAAACATTCAAAAACTCGGCGTCCGCAGGATTACGGTAGCGTGCATCTTTAAGTGCGTCGAGCTTTTGCATCACTCGTGACTTTTATGCGTTTTACCTTGCGAGATAGGTTGCAGCTGACTGTATGTGCTCCTAATGAAATAAACTGTAAAAAAGGAGAGCAGAATCACTCATGGGCACGAACGCGGTCAGCAAAAGGACATGCAATTCTGATTAATGCCTGCCGCTCCAACAAAGAACAACTAAGCGGCCTCCGTCGGGGGCATCTAGCAAGGGCGGTCCAACTGAGCGGGCGTCAGAACTATAACTTTCAGCGGCTGTAGCACGCTCCTTGCTCGCTGTGAAGTCGTGAGAGTGGGACATTCTCTTAGCTTGGGGGGGGGGAATACTTGCACAAGGAAGGACGACCATGAATTACTTGAGCGCGGGGGCTGTCCTTAAGCGCGTCTTCATTTGCTAAGTGCTGTTTATGAATGAACCCAACTTAAGAAGACCACACTCAAACTATGTAGAAGTACTTGAGTCCTTTCCCGGGCACGTTTGATTGACATAGCGTTCCACCTTCATTGACTGAGCATCTGCTTAACAGAAACGATTTTCATCTATTAGGTTGTTCGAAAGAAGTCCTGCGACACTTTGATTGAATTAGTCTAGAAAAAGACCAAAAATTTTTTCCCTGATCAGTGGAGACTGTCCTCTAGGGCTTCTGCACATGGGTATATCATGACTTTGTGTAAGGTTTCAAAGCTTAAAAGTCCATCAGAGATCGAGGTACTTTTCGACCTATCCCATACTATGAGTTTCTGTAGGGCCACTCCGCCGTAGTCGAGAGAGCTAACACTTTGTCTTGAGAAAGGACATCGCTTGCCATGGCATAGGGTAGCTTTTGCATCAGCGCTTCCAGGCTGGACTTATTTAACTCGTAGTTAGGCATGTATAGGCCGCCCACCAGCACAGAATGATGGCCCTTTATTCAGGCTTCTTGAGGCGCAGCCGGGTAACCACCAGTAAAATGGCCATCTTTCTAGGCTCCACCTGACTGACAACTGCCATGCTTCTCCTCAACGAGCTATCGTGGTGGATGTTACACTTCTGTGAGGACGGTTAACGCTCACGAACAATGTCCGAACTTGGTTCCGATATAAGATAATACGATTTATATAATCCTTAATCGTCATCAAGAGACATAAGAGGATATCGTCTTCATAGGCTTGCACGACCGCTGTGTGTGCCTTGCCGAATCCTCTATTTTTGTTCATGAAGTCTAAGGAGAAACCCAGGAATCCTCTCCCAGGCTTACTGAATCTAACGATAATGCTGCTAATTCGGAAACTCTTTTGGGAGCCACTAGGGCTAGCAGCACTATCGTTTTTTGAGTTAACTGTTTGAGGTCCAAAGTGGCATTAGGCTCTAGGGATTTTAGATATTACAGGACCACTGATGCATTCCATATATCAGCATATCTGCGTCGTGGGGGGGGGGCGCTGCCGAAAGAACCCCTTCATGCACCTATTCACCAGGGTTGTGTCCTTTCTACAGAACTCCCCATTGATCGCCGAAAGGTAAACGATTATGGCTGACTTGTGAGTGCTTATCGAAGAGAAGCTTGCGCCTGATTCGAACAGCTGACCCAGAAAGTTGAGAATATCTTCTACCCTTGGATGCAACCTGTCTATACCGATATTTTTACAGAAGGCTGCCCACTTTTTTAAGGCGCTATTGTACTGTCTTATCGTAGCGCGTGACCAATTTGACATTATGGATCGCACGACTACATCTTTCAGCCCTCCACCTCTCCAGATTTCACCTAAATGATGCATTCTATCATACGAAAGGAGGGAGATTCGAGGCATGGATGAGGAGACCCGCTGGAGTCCGTCAGCAGGTTCCGGTCTAATATCAATGGCGTGATTTCCTTGCCGTGCTCAATAGTTAATGGCCACCAACTTTGATTTTCCCACATGGGGCACACAAGAATCAAGTGTGCATTGTCTCGCAAAGCTTTTCTTATTGTCTTTCCGACTAGATTAAATGGCGGAAAGGCGTAGCCGTAGGTCTCCTACCAAACTCGAGCGAAAGCGTCTACGCCCTTGCGCCCGGATCTGGAAGAAAGTAATAGTATTTTTGACATTTATTGTTTCACCGGGAGGCGAAAAGGTCTATCTTAGGTACGCCCCACTTTGCAAACAGTAACATGGTTGTTTTCCCATCAAGGGAATAGTCGGAGGAGTCGTTCGGTCTCCTAGAAAGAAGGTCTGCTTCAATGTTTTGTACACCTGGCTTGTGTGAGGCCAACAGTTTAGATCACGTTTTGAGGCCCATAACCACAATAATCGCGTTAACTTCTTCAAGCGCGCATTTCTGGTTCCTCCTTTCTTATTTATATACCAGACCGCTGTTGTGTTGTCCAGCTGCACAGAATGGTGCAATGGCAGAGTTTGTCTGCGAAACAGCGTAAGCCCAGTATACAAGCTGCTAACTCTTTTCGTTTATGTGCCACTCTAGTTCTGAGGGTTTCCAGTTCCCATTAGTACTGTCGTATAAGCATATTGCACCCCAACCCGTATGATGCGTCAGATGTAATGATGAGCGACTCATCCTCGTGAAGGATGGGCTCACAAGCTATTTTACCGAAGTTTTTTGAAAACCACGTCAAGTCGCGCACACACTTTCTAGAAGGGTGCCTAAAGTCTTATAGTCACTCGCATTCTTCAGAAAGAAACTGCCTAACCACATCTGAAGAGGTCTGAGAAATAGTACAGCAATTCTTGCTGCCATGCTTACCCAGTTGACTTGCCCAAGAAAGCTAGCAACTTCGCGAAATGTGACTTTCCTGCGTTTCTGCATTTTTTGGCACTTTGGCAAATAGTGTTATCTTCTGCTCTGGGACGGAAAGTTGAAAACTTGATGAACTGATAGTCATCCCGAGAAATTCCATCACTTGTGACGGTTCCAGCTGCGATTTTTTCTCGTTTATAGTTAAACCTAGATCCTTGAGCGTTGTAGTTTGGTTGATCTTTAATGAAAGAGATTCTTTGTTTTTGTTTATTATCAACCAGCCATCTAGGTCAACAATCAGCCTGATACCCTGACTTCTGAGTTTAGAAGCGACAACCCTCATTAGCCTAGTGAAAACGTAAGGTGCTGAGGATAGGTCGAAGGGTAACGCTTTGTACTCAAAGGGCTTCCTGCCATGTTGGAAGGCTAAGTATTTCCGAAAATCGCCATGGATAGGGACCGAAAATATGCGTCTTTTAAGTCTATTTTCGCCATGTAATCGTGTTTCTCCAAGAGAACTTTTATCATTCCAGTAGCTCCATTTTGAAATGGTGTGGCTTAATATAGCTATTGAGTGGCTTTAAATTTATTATGCTCTGTTTCCACCGTCTTTTTTTGGAATGACGAATATTTTTGAGGTCCAAAGTTTTGAGGACCAGGGAATCTCTTCAGTGGCATTTTTATCTAGCATTTCCTGAACTGCGATGCTGAGAAGGTCAGATTCGGAGTCCGTTGTGCAGGATTGCAAGGAAGGAGCATTGGGGGATTTGGTCAGAGAACTCTAACCTATAGCCCTGCAGTGCTTCACGCACCCAGGGTTCATTGGTAAGACAAGCCCACTTTTTTGAAATAGAGCTAACCTACCTGCCCGGGCTTCAGACTCCTAGGGAGCGAGCTGTTTCTCGGCCCTAATGATATGTTCATACCTTTCCCTTTTCACGTGTATGTCTTCATTTTCTTGCCACTGCCAAGCGTTCTTTTGGCTTTTGCCTCCTTCACCAGCGCTTCGGTGAGCTTCCTGCACTGAGACTTTCCACGATCTCTGTTGTGAGTTTCGGTCCCATGAGCGCAGGGCAGACTTCATTCCGAGGAAGGTCCGCTACGAACTGGTTCTTCCAACGGGAACCGATGGAAATTGTGAACCATCTTTAGCGGCTCAACTCCGAACGATCTGCAATGGCTTGGTTAAATTAATGACTGAAATTGACATGTAAAATGTGGTAGCACCACCTCAGAAATCTTTCTCTTCTTCTGGTTACATTTGCCTCGATTCCGAATGATAGAACTTCCATGGCTTGCTCTATGTAGAGATCCGGACGCTGAGAGCGACCCGCGCGATTTTCGCTACGCGCGATCGCCATGAGATTGAGAGCGTGCAGCACTTCTGCATCGGCCCTCAGCGACATCTCGTCGACTTGAATTCTGAACGAACAGATCTGGGAAGGCGATTTCTGAAGCGACTAGAATGGAGCTTCATCTACAAACCTGAAGGATTTCCTAGGGAGACCTTCTTCTAGAACGGGTGGAGCAGCCAGGCCGGACGCCACCAGTGGAAGGCGATCATAGAAACTAAGCCTGTCTTCTGTGCTTACATAGACCCCCACAGCGCCCTTGTCGAAATGTTCCAGAAGCTTCTGGTCGATGTTGACTCGTGTACGCAATTTTTCATATTCCCTGCGAGTTATTTTTGGGGCCTCCTTGTGAGCACCGGCGAAATCAATCTTCTTGGGGATCGGTCGCACGCTTTCCAACGGAGATTCCGGACTGTATTTCTTTTTAGCAGCTCTTCTCTCCCGGTGTGTAGCCTGCTGTCATCTGAATTATCCTCAGAACAGGAATATGCTGAGGCAGACTCTGACGATGAGGAAGAGGTCGATGACTCCTATGAGAAGGATTCTCTTCTTCTCTTTTTGCTGCTCCTGACGTCTCTGTCCTCGTTATTATTCTCCTTCGCGTCCGAAAACAGTGATTCCATCGGGCCGTCGAGGAGTTCCTTTTCAAGACGTGCGAGCTTTCTGTCCTTCATAGAGCACGACATCTGAAACAACAGCGACTAAAACACCAGTATGCGAACGTTAGTCTCATTCAAAAGGTGAAAGTAAGTCAACCTTCATGATGTGGTTACTATGCCCACACCACTATATCAGTCCCGGTTGCGGCGCTGTAGTGGCTTCCGCCGGTACTCGGGCTAGCGTACTAATGACGCTGCCCTCATGCTACGGAAGTTCTAGTGACTTCCGAAAAAAAACGACACCGCACCGTTGACTGAAACAGTGCTGCGGTCGAAAGGGTGAGGAGAAGAAAAACATAGAAAAACATCGAAAAACAAAGGAGACGTCCGTCTCCGAGGAGCTCAAGCAAGGCGATGGAGTGGTTGGGCCTGCAAGTGGCGTTTGCGCAATCGCCCAGGACGGATCGATTCGGTTCTGATCTGAAGATCATACCATCTTGAGGGAAGCTCAGCGCCGGCGCGCCAAAGCATCGTAATTGATATGAGCAGTGTAACATAAGAACATAGATTTCGAACAGAGAACGCGACCGTGCCAGGTTATTTGGCAAAGTTAGCAGCCTCTAATTACCACCTCTTTTGGTCCCTATGGCATCCTTCAAAAAGCAAAAATTCCGAAAATCGACCACTACTCGAGCATGAGGTCCAGCTCTTCTTTTTATCGTAGTCGCCGTAGTTCCGTGAGAATGGAAATGATAAGCTATGCAAAAGAAAGGCACTAGTCCTAGTCATCAACTGCGCTTACCTTGTCAATTGGAGATATCTTTTAGTGACGGAAAATTTAGTAAGAAAAATTTGGTCAAAGTGTCGCATTACTTTTTGAACAACCTAATATTAAGCCGTCACAGTTCTGTCTTCAAGCCCCTAAATATCATAAATTGAGAAACGGATGATGTAATTAGCACAAGATACTCTCCATATCTCGGAGGTGGGGAGGCGTCGCTATTTTCGTGGAGGCGGCGGCGCTTTTTTTGAATTTTCCCTTTTGCGACAAATTTGACTACATCTTTGTCGTGCAGGTAGGAATATGTTTGCCCTGAATGGGGATACATCACACGTCCGATGCTGTGTGCAGATGAAATGCGCAGCCGCCTTTACCATCTCAGGAATATGAAGCGCATCTGTCACTTGCGCACTGTGTATAATACATCCCTTTTCTTGATTTTGCCAGTTCAACAATCTTCAGAAGGCTATTGGTGGTAATACGGAGGCCTGGAAGCAATTTGCTGGATTTCAGGGAAGCTCGAGGCACAAGATCGAGCTGAGAGTACTGGCAGCATGTCTTGATGCGTACATTGAAGCCATGGGATTCAAGTCTGCTGGCGGTGAGGTCTTTTTATCTTTGGAGTAGCACAGTAGATTTTTTGTAGTGAGGGCATCTACTCGAAAATCGTAGATGTGTAGAAAAACGGCTCGGTCGTTGGTACCAGCTCCTCCTTATCACCTCACTCTCACCGCTGGGAATGGAAAGAGTCAGAGGTGAAATAACTGCCAGGTGGCATTCAAACGTGAAAGTTCGTGTCGCCGTGATTAGGTCGCGAGCGGGCGGCGCCCTCTTCATATGTTTTTGAGCTGCGAAAGAAACACATCCTCGCAGGCATGAGCACCATGTTCAAAGATGGCGCCCGAACATCAATGGAAACGAGGCGTGCCTCTAAGCTCCGAAGAAAAACGAGTTTCCTCGAATGTTCCAGTACTATACGCTACACGGCTATTTTGCAGTTACAAGTCGTAGGAAGCTGGACGAACGCTGAAGAAAAAAGAAATCGTAGGGAGCTGCTTAAAACAGAAATGTTCAAGCGATCTGACTTATCTCTGAAGGAGGGAGGGGAATCGTTGGTAAGGCCATGAATTAGGCTTTTCGTGGTGCAGCTGATCCTAAGCAAAAAGTTGTGATTCGTTAGGGTGTTGGGAGAGAATGGACGAGATGGATGAGAGAGCATACAGACAAGTCAGGCGACAGGCATTATGAAGAGTAGGAGCCGCTCGCGCAGCCGTGCAACCGTCTGAGTACAGATTTTCACGTATTTTGAAAGAAGTATTCAAAGAAAAACCTAATCTCAACAGTGAACGGAAGAATTTCAGGATTATCATCTGAGGTGGCGCGTCTGCAAAGATTTTTCAAATGTCATATCTTGCGGCAGCAACTGTTGAAGAAATCACTGCGTTCAGGCAGGAAGTCGCTCTTATAGTATTATTTCATATTCTTGCGCTTCATAGTGGGCCTTGTTCACTGAAATGAAGTTTCCAATTAGAATCATCACCTGCTTTTCCAGGTGGCCCAGCATCTCGCAAATATCGGCCTCTTTTCTTTGCCAAAGCTGACGTTGAGAATTGTTTTGCTTGTGTCAATAGAGAAATATTGAAGAGAGCTTTGATAATGGTTATGGGAGGACGGTATGTTTTCATCCAATTTAAAGGCAACACTTGCCCTCATTCGCAGAGCTGACTCCGCCATACGAACTCTACGACCGTACAAGTGATAATTCATGCTTTTTCGTCATGCAGCTTGGTTTTCATTGAGAGGCGAACCTTGGAGGCGAAGTCTAGAGGCGAAGTCACTGGAGAAAAGGAGGCGTCACAAACCTATATTACGCTGTAGCACCCCTCCCTAAAATTTTTTGCAGCAAACCGGTACATGGTTGTTCGTCGCGGACCACACTACTCTCTCGACGCCATAATCGTCTTCTACACCTGATCGGGGGCCGTGCCTTCAAGATCACATTCCGCGATTGCAAATCCTATGACGTGTAATTGAAACATGATTGTGAAAGTGCTAGTTGACTCAATAGTGAAAAAAGAGGGGGCGGCAAGACCACCAAAGACGTCCCAAATTAGGAGTGTTGATTTTTCCAGCATTAAACTGCTCGCGTTGAATGGTTACAAGGATGTTAAACACATATAAGAGGCTCCAAATTTTATTGCGAAAGACTCAAAAGATTCAAAAGAATCCGAAAGTTTTTACAAAATTTTTTTATTGTTTATTCTCCTT